TTTTTATTTTTATGTTGGGATCAAAGATTTGAAGATAATTTCTATTTTTATTTATTTTAAAAAAATAAAAATAAAGAGACTTTCATTTATGATAGAATAAATAATTAAAATTAAGAGATAATAATAAGGTCAATGTATAAAAAAAGTATTTCTCTCCCTAAAAATATAAAACAATAACTATTATTTTGGAATAAATTCTAAAAAAATATTTATTATTCTTAAACAGATAGAGTAGGAAAATGTAAAAGTAAGATATTATTTTTAACACAAATACTACTTAGATGATTTTAATTAGATAGTTAACAAATTTAAAGTCAATTTTATTTTTTCTATATAAATTAATTATAAAAAATATAATTAATACTCTCTTAACCTATTCCCTTAGTGGCATAGGAATCAATACCAAAACACCAATTTTGGTGAGATTTAGAACCCTATTATGATGAATTGGACTGCTTGGATCATTACTTAAATTGGTAAGACCTCTCAGATACAAAAATAAATAGAGAGAATCCATTCTTGACTCACTTACTCAAGTGAAGTGAAACTCAACATACTTTGATTCAAATACTTGATGCATACAACGGTGGTAGAGCAAACTATTTACAAGCTAAGGCTAAGTAACATGCATTAAGTGGAAAGTAAAAATAGTTGGGAGTTGGCCATTTTTGCTACTTTGTGGCCATTTGTTAGTCAAGGGTGCTATCAACCTCAAACTATAAAGCATTGTTTTACCTCATTTTCTTTTTGTAGCCATTGGGGATGGGCATGATCTTTAACTGGCAGTCATAGTTTCTCTCAACCATATAATTGGATATGACATTCTCACAACTTTCATTGTCAATGATGACATTGCAGACTTTTCCTTAGGAAGTTCATCTAGTGTGGAGAATGTAGCAGGAAAATTGCATTGCAACCTACACCATCGACTACAACATAGGACAATGCTCTAGTGTTCAAGGCTAATTGTTCCCTTGACTAACAAATGGCTACAAAGTCAGCAAAAATGGCCAACTCCTAGCTATTATTACTTTCCATAAGTGT